TTAATGCCTATGTTTTCTTTTTAACAGAGAGCTGGGGGCAGAGGATACACTGTCAAACCACGTAAAAATTATAAATATTAGAACAGTAAGATGGCTAAAGAACTCTAAGATATTTGTTTGGTCCCTGGAGTATTGCACTCAAAGCAACATCCATCCCCAGGCTGGTCTTCTGGTTCACTCCCTTCTCTAATGGTTTAGAAATAAAAATCCCAAGTCTTTGAGAGGAAAAGTTGCTTTGAGTTGCTTTGAGTTTCTGGACTGGACTAGGTGGACAGAATTCCAACCCAGCTCTCTGCACTTGATTCCCCCTCTTCAGCTGGTGGCAGAATTCAGGCAGGAGTAGGGGAAGCCATAGCAGGATCTTCAGCACCCTCCTGTGGTCTGCCTACTGTTTTAGCTTCCTTAGAACCTCTATAGCACTAACTGTTACAGGTCACATAACATTTGCCTGGAAGACAAATCTCTTCCAACTGACACAAGGGATGGAATTGCCCTGGGTCCTTGACCCTCCCCCAACCCACATGTGGTAGCCACCTTGGCCCTTTCTGCCTCAGAGTAAGATAACAAGATGCTTCAGGGACAGCCAGCCAGCCAGTAGGGGCTGGCATGGAGGAGTTGCGACAGTGTGGGCAGGACATCCACTCTTGGAGAGCAGTTGGGTCACCGAAAGGAAGTGATCCACAGTCTAATTCTTGGCCAAACAGAAGGGCTTCAAGGCTTGACCTGAGGCCCTGCCTCACTCCTGACTGGCTGTGAAACCATAGACAAGTCAGTAAGCTGTGCTGTATTCCTGTTTTCTTACTGATAAAATAGGAATCATAATGATCCCTGGGCTAGATGTGAGGCCGAATGAGCACATCAAAAAGCGTTCAGCCAGCTCTGGCACATGGCGCATGCCAATTAGTGTCATTATTCCTACTCTGCCAAGGCCTCATATGTACACCATGATGGGAGAGAGGGACACATGGAGACTGTCTTAGCCATTTCCTGCAGAATTCATCTAGCACAGGTCAGAACTACTGGTCAGTGAGCTGTTATGCTGTGAAAAGACCCAAGAGACACTGGGAAGGTTGAAGGCAAAATCAAAGGCACAAAAGCATTCTGCAAAATAAAGTCAGCAGAATTTAAATTTCTGCAGATTTTTCAGGGGTCAGTAGAGGTGGCTAGAAATGGGGAGAAGGATATCAATACAGGTAGGAGGATGAGCGAGTTTTTTCATGTGGCAGAGAGTGGAAACTCAGGGAAGAGCTGTCCTTTCAGAAACAGTCAGTGGCTGGAACAGCTGAGGCTGCTTTTACCTCAACAGAGGTATCGCACATTCAATTCTACAGCATCGTTTGCTGACTGAGCTGTGCTGTACCATGCTGCCCGAGCAGCTTTCCACTATCCTAACTCCTTCTGTGGACATTGCTAGATACAAAGGAAACCCAGAGAATTCAGGGCAAAGGTGGCTATCTTCTTGGATTTGGCTAAATAAACCACACATCATGAACAGGTGGGAGCTTCTAAATGTGATGGAGGCATAAAGCTAGAGTAAGTGATGAAGAAATGCATGAAGCATGTCCCCTCACCTCACCCCCTTGGTTTCAGGCTGCATATGGTGTGACGGTCCTTTTCTTTGGTTACAGGGCTGTACCTCAGAACCTGTGCCTCAAGGATACAGGCTCCTGCGGGCAGCAGGTAGAGTTGTATCGCTGTCCCATGAGGATGACTTGTTCTTTCTGCTTCTTCTCTCCATCTCAATGCAGAAGTCATTATAAGCTTTCTCTTCTAAGTGAGAGAAGAAGACTGAGAGAAGAGAGGGGCACAGAGAAAAGCTCTCCTCCCACCTCTGGTTCTAATGTGCAGTTCTAGCCACTCCTCAAGAATGGCCAAAGAGTCCTGAGCCTGGTGGAGTGAGCATGAGGTGGTGGTTTCCTGGATGATTGTATGGCTGGAAACTGGAGGCTTATGTTAGGACTTGCCCATAGACAAGGGTTTCTGCAAGTTCCCTGCAGCTAAGTGTATCCTGTTCTCAGGTACCTTCACATGTTTACAGGGCCCTGCCTCCCAGGCTCAGGCTGATGTTGGTTTTTGCTGGGAGTGGATGATTTCCAGAGCTGCTGCCACAGAGAGCTCCCTGGAAGGCTCTTCCCTGCATTCTCCAGTGTCAGCCTTGTGCTGCCTCTCAGGCCTTGTTTAAAGAATTTCTGGAAGGTGAGTCCACCTCTTCCTGGCACATTTTTACAATGGCTTTATCTCTAAGAGGAACAATTTTCTGCTTGTGCTGGTTTGATTGCTTGGTGTGGAACTGGGATGGGGCTTCAGGTTCCCTCAGGATTATTGTTAGATTGTCTTCTATTTTTACAGATCAGACAAAACTATGGCCTCAGCAAGTATCAACTCTGGACAGACATTTTTAGTTCATTTAGCATATTGCAATTGAGTTACAAACGAAATTCAGAGGAGATAAGACCTGCCCAAAGAAATCAATTCTGTAGCCCAGGTCTTACCCTAAGGTGGTATTCCTTCCACCACCTCACCATACAGTGTCCACAGTTTGCCAAGCCAAGGCCAGTGTAGACTTGTATTAAAAGCAGGAGAAGGACTGGACTGCGACCACACACAGCAGGACCCTGGTATCTCACAGCTAGAGCACACCATGCATGGGCCATTGGGAAGAGCCCCAGAGACAGTCCTTGCTCTGCCATGGACTCCTCGTGGGAGCTCAGACAAGACATTCTGGTTCTCTGAGCCTCAGTTCCTTCTCTGCAAACAAGGATACTAATTCTCATGTTGCTTGCTTTCAGAGCTGGGGTTGAGGTGTGGAATGTTCTCTAACAAAATTTCACAGCCCTAGTGGGGAGTATTATGAGCATTTTTAAAAGTCTGGTGGCTGAAACATTGAATTGTAAACTGAGGTTGGTTTGGGTTCATGTTCTGACATTGCTACCTATGGGTCAGGCAAGATGGGACCTGGTAAGTGACCTAACCCACAGTGTCTGACTCAGGATATTTCATGAACCAAAGAACTTTTTCTCAAAGCAGAAATTCAAGGACTGATGTGGAGCAGGCAGCTTTTTATTTTGCCTTTTGTGACCACTAATATAAAACTAAGAAATGGACAGAAAGCAAATCAGTTTAACTCCCTTCCACATCAGCTTCTTACTGTGAGAGTGCATTCTGCCAAAGAACACAGGAAGGACACATTCAGAACAGAGTGTTCTGAGAGTAAAAGCAACTGACCGTCTGAACAAGGCCTCACAGGCCCTTTTCCCATCCCATTGTGGACTGATGGAAACTTCATTGTATGATTGAACCACTTTGTGGGTGAGGAACTGAGATTCAGAACGACCTAGGGCCTGTTGCCCAACTCAAACTACCCATGACACTGAGACCATGGCCATGTTCAAGATTGCTTCTTTATCTTTAGGAAAATGAAAGGTCCAGTCTTATGGGGAAAGTCCAGGTGGATGCAACGGTGGAAGGATGGGGCTAGGGGTGGGGGAATTTTATTTACACTGTGCATTTTGCTCTTTGCAAAGCATTACGGGAATGCGTGTTCCAACTTAATGCAGACATCGGACTCCAAAGCCTGTCCTGTTTCCACTACAGAGATTAGCAAACTCCAATCTTCAGGCCCCAGCCAGCTCACCACACCTCATTCTGTACAGGAATGAAGCTTTATAGGATTGGAGCCATGCCTGCTCCTCTGTGTGTAGTCTGGTTGCTGCATCACTGTGACATCTGAGGTGACTAATTGCAGCAGAGACACTGAGGCTCACAAAGCCTAAAATGTTTGCCATCTGGAACTATAAACTGTAAACAAGAAGTTTGCTTGGTTTTGTACTTTACCCCTTTTTGCAGTAATGCGATTGCCCACACAAGCACTATGGGAAATAAGGCCACATACTAATTAATTCCAACTGACACTGAGACATTATTTACAAAGTTGTACTACGGTAACTGCTTTGAAAGATCCAGAATGCTTGCTGCGGGAGGCTCATGAGCTGACTGTCTAAGTCTCTGGGGTACAGGCAGAAGGGAATACACGGGCCAGAGTGTCCTAAAGGAGATTCCAAGTATGTGGACATCTGTGTGAGATGTGCCAGACCTCAGTTCCAAGGAGGCCTCAGTGTCTGTGACAGCCTCCTGCTTCTCCTTTTCATTTTCCCTTCGAGCTGTCTGCTTGTCCAGCTGTGCTTGCTGTCAAGCATAATGTATACAGGACTTGGAGTGGGGGGAGGTGGTGTTACAAGGTGTAAGAGAATTGGCTTAGAGATGAAGGCCTCCAGGTTCAGTCCTCTATGACCTTGGGAGAGACATTTCACTTTCCCTCTCTAGGCTTGACTTTTCCTCCTCTCATGATAAAAATACTAATTGCGACCTTCAAGTTTTTCACCTTCTCTATTAACTGAACACTTTTTATCACACTTCTGGGGCTTGTAGAGAGAAGATACAGTTAATTTCATTTGCAAAGATGAGCAGCAAGTCTGTTTTCACAAATCCTCAAGTTCATTATGCCTCTTGGCTTTTACCAGTTATTTAATGGTTTTCCTGAGCTGATTGCTATGCCAAGGAATTTATAGACAGGGACTGATTGAGTTCTCCAGTGTATTAATGAGGTGAATACTGTTATTCACATTTAAGAGCTCAGGAGTCAAGGTTCCTAGGTGGAAAGCCCAGAAAAGAATAATACACACCCTTGCCTTATTTAGTGCTTCAAGCTTTTGATGTGGTACTCCCTGTGTTCCCATCAGTGCCCATGCCAGGCTGGCCAGAGGAAGGGTGCCCATCATCAGGAATGTTGGGGGAGTATGGAAAGTTGGTGTGGACAGGAGTGCTGATCAGGGACTCCTGAGGTCAACCAAGAGACATCAGCTCTGCCCCAAGCAGACCCCATCTGTGCCCCACCCCCTTCCTGTTGGACACAGTCATAGGGATTGGTAATGGGGAGCCACATCTTTGAATCATGGCAAGCATGATTCACTGCATATTTACTTCTAATTTCAAGATCTTACCTCCTTTATGGGGGGAGTTTCCAGGTGGGCTGGGAATGGAGTCCTGGGAGAAAAGCAAAGAGAAAAGCAAAACAGCAATTGAGGATGACATTCAGTTAAAAAATCTCTCTCTCTCTCTCTCTCTCTCTCTCTCTCTCTCTCTCTCTCTCTCTCTCCATTTCCAATTGGGTTGCAGTTTAGAATTTCTCTTCCACCTGACTCTCCACATTTAAAAATTGGGTTACCGATGCAGTTTTCAACACAGTCTCAACTCATTGTTTGGCAGCTTAACTCTCAGAAACACAAAACAAGGCTTGGGATGATCTGTCATTTGTGGACAAGAGGCAGAGGGCTGAGCTAGACAACATGGCTCGTCCAGAGCTGCCCAGGGAATTCATGGAGTTGAGAGGCCACAGCTGGGATCCTGACTTCCTGGTCTATTGCTTACCCGCCCCAGATGTGTTAGTTTTTCCCCTTCAGTCAACATAAGAACAATCAAGTGAATTGTATAAATATATGTGGTTTTTTTCCCCATGTTTGATTCTTCTGCAAAAGTGTATTGTAAACATACCTGGAAGGTACATTTCTAACTCTCCTGTGGTTGGAAATTCTGAGTTAACTGAAATGTTTATATATCAAGAATTATGAAGGTATCATAAGTTGACTGAGTTATTACCTTGCATAGATTTTTTACAAGTATATGACTAAACAGAACATGTAAATATTTACAAATACATAACATACATGAATACAAATATATATTATATATTCACACTACATTATTTTTTCTATCCTGACCATAAATACGTATGCAGGTTGAGCGGAACAACTTGCTGAAGGAGGGAGACTTGACTGGGGGATTTCAGAGGGTTAAAGGAGGTTTAATGGCTGGGTTGGCTGTTCTGGGCAAGTAGCCCATGAGCTGGAGGGACATGAATCTCCTGCCCCAATAAATTCCTCCCAGATTAACTGTCCTTTCTTGCCCCTCCTCTCTCTTCCTGTGCCAGCACGAAGTCACCCTAAAATGTCCTGCCAGGAAAGAATGAAGTATCCTAATCATCTTCTGGTCTGCCCAAGTTGGAATTTATTCAAAAGCACACAGAGAGGGCATTTGCATTGAGAAACACAACTTTCTAATCTCTCCCAAAGCTGAAAGTCCATAGCTGTCCCTAGCTCCTCTTCTCAGTGCTCTGTATGGATGCCTACCTATGACCACAGGGATTGACACGTGTACCCCACTTTATCCCCAGGAGCTCTGACCCTTGCTTTCCTGGCACACTTTGTTTTCTGATCAGTGAATCACAAGCACCTCTCAAAGGGTACCACACTGATCTGGAAGTAAGGAAGTCAGTCTCAACTTTTCAGGCTCCATTTCTCATGTGAATAAGGGTCAATTTGGTCTGGAAGGTCCTTTCCCCCTGTTGAACTAATCAATGATTTTATTGCCTTAGTTGAAATTTCTTAACCTAGTTTAACACTGTTTTACCTTTGCAGTCATTCAATTAGCTGTGCAGTTCATAGGAAACCCTGACCTCACACAATCCCCCCCTCGGGTTGCTTCTGTGAACAACAATCACCATCTCAAAGTTGTGTGAGTCACTAATTCTCAGCCAAGTATGACTATCAATTAATGGGATGCACAATTGCACAAAGAAAAGCACTTAACACTTAAATGTGGTGCTAAAGACTTAGATTCCTTCAGCAGCCCAGGGACCATCCAGAGACAGAGGACACAATAGCAAGACCAATAGAGCCACCCCAGTAGAAGATAAACTGGGGAATTGTTCATTCTCATACTGAATGAGTGAGTGCTTGGTTGGTAGTAGGTGCTACGTTACTCATTGGAAAGTGTGCTACAGGGGTTGGGGGTATAGCTCAGTGACATAAGTGCCGGCCTGGCAAGTGCAAGGTCCTGAGTTCAAACCCCAGTACAAAAAAAAAGTGTGCTATCAATGCAGTTATTAAAGTCACTTTAAACGTTTCTGCTGGAAATATAAGAAGTAAAGCCATGCTGTTATGTTGAGCTATAGGGGACTCAGGTCAACAATTTCTGACATTGCCAGTCAAGCGGAAGACCCAATACTATTATGGGCTACTGGACTCTTTAAGAATATTTTGCTGAGTTTA